ACACACACACACACACACACACACACAGACACACACAGACACACACACAGGGTCACACAGTGTGTAGGAAATTGATTTGTAGGAATAATTTGCGGCCAGCGGCTTTTTTTCGTAAATTCTCCCCACTCCACTCCCTCCCCCTGCCTGATTCGCTCCCTCTTTAGAAGCAGTGCGATGCATGGGATTTTGTTCAAGGGGTTAATGGTCGAGAAAACAGCAGAATGTACCTGGAAGAACTGTCAACCATGCAGAGTGATGAGAAATCCCAATAGAATTACCCGCCAAACAGGTATACTCCCCAGCATCCTCAAAAGTAACATTGCGTAAATATAGAGCCTCCAGTTCTTTGTCCGTGGTATTAAGACCGGCTGTCTGGAAGAGAGAATGGAAGCAAATGGACAAGCAGACGACATGAGAACTATGGACAGGTTCAGCTGGAGACACCGTGTTATTCGGTGCCAGTTGCCCACTCCCAGCGAGATCCACCCAGGCCTTGCGTTAAAGTGATACCTGGCTCGACAAGTGACCTTCCAGGACTGTGCGAGTCCAAACTTATCCTAGGAAGCAAAAAAGGTTTCCAGTTACGTGTTAAACCCGCCACCATGTTGTTTTCATTGCGCCCATCTCCACATGCGAGTGATGGGCCTCATGGAGAAAATGGACCCACAATGTCCAGAACACACCAAGAGTGTACAGCAGCGTGGAGGGAGAGCCAGCATTAAACAGAAAAGGGCAGGGCTCAAAGGTGGCACAGCGAACGCAAGAGAAAGGAGAAGCCAGAGGGGGCTGAGCTGTTTGCTGAAGCCTTGGAGAAACGGGAACCCGAAATTTATCATTCCTTCAACGTGAAAAGCTACTCCAAACAGACATGGCCACTTCCCAACGCCTGTGCCAGCTCTTTCTGAGAGAAAATCCCAGTGTTTACTGAGACTGGAAGTAAATCTGTCAGACTGAGTGTGATAAGGGGAGGCGATGGCCTCGTGGTATTATAGCTGGGCTATTAATCCAGAGACGTGGATAATGTTCTGGGGACCCGGGTTCAAATCCCGCCACAGCAGACGGTGGAATTTGAATTCAATAAAAATATTTGGAATTAAGAGTCTAATGATGACTGTGAATCTATTGCTGATTGTCAGGAAAAACCCATGTCCTTTAGGGAAGGGAACTGCTATCCTTACCTGGTCTGGCCTACATGTGACTCCAGACCCACAGCAATGTGGTTGACTCTGAACTGAACAATTAGAGATGGACAATAAATGCTGCCCGGTCAGCGATGCCCTCATCCCTTGAATTAATAAAGAAAAATAAAACTTTAGCTGGTCTAGAATTGCAATCACTGTACGGCTGACTCACGTGGATGGGAACGACTTCAGTGCTCCCTCGCGCTAGCCATTCCCTGTCGGGTTTATAATAAGCCCACCGCAATCTGTTCACTGCGCGCCTGCCCCCTGAGCACCAAAATGCTCCCCAGATTTTCTCTGGGGAGTCGGGGAAACGTTTCAGGATTTGTGAGAAACTTTCAAACAGCGAGATTGGGTCAGCACCATCTCTCAAGCCTGTCCTGCTGTTTTGGCTTGGCCGATTTCAGTCGGCCTGTGAATTTGAGGGAAGGCTGCAGAGTCACTGGGAGAAAGTAGGGGCGGCACTCTGACTGGAGTACATCAGTGCCTCAGGGGCACTCAGTGCCTTTGGAGCTTCCTGTGAACTCGAAGCTGACAGATTGGGCCAAGAAATGACAACAAACAACCCGACAGCCTGAGAAAGGCTTCACCTTGGACACCACCGTGATGCTGCCTCAGGAGGATCAGCTCAGGCTGATTCAATCCAAAGGCAGGCAATGTCGACAGGCTGGACAATTCCGTGCTTCCAAAAACGCCTCCCCCACCCTTGGAGCGCTTTTCCCCAGGGAAAGGAAGAAACAGGTTGAGAGCCTGCCGAGTTTTTGGGGAGAGAACAGGGCAGAGCACAGGCCTGACCTCTCATCTCTGTTGGTTCCTACCAGCTTTGGAAAGCACGAGCAGAAGGACAGCATTGATATGACAGGCTGAATGGCCTCCTCCAGTGCAGCAAAAGACCATTTGAGGGGCATGAATTGAACCCAAAGCAAAATCTCATTGGTGAGACCACACCGGGAATACCGTGCACAGTGCGCATCATCTCAAGTAGAGGAGTGTGTGAACACAGAGATGGTTCACCAGATGAGTACCTGGAAAGGGCAGGTGGTTGCCGAAGGAAAAGTGGTTTCTTTAGGCATCTCGGACATCGAGAGGATCCAAACCTATTCAACCCTGACCCCCAGGGAATGTGGAGGGGATGTTCCCTCCTGTGAACAAATCTAGAACCAAGGCTCACTGTTTAAACACACCCAGTGAAAACTCTTCTCTCTCAGAGGCTCTTTGGAGCCCTTTCTCGCGAAAATGCACTGACGCCAACTCCTTGAATGTTTTTCGGGCAAAGGTTAGGTCACAGATTCTGGATAAGCAAAGGGGTGAAAGGTTATCGTAGGACGGTGGGCACGATGGAGTCATCAGAATGGCCAGCAAAGGGGCAGCAGGCACGAGGGCCCGAACGACTCTCTCCTGCTCCTGATCACCGTAGACCCAGTGGGTCCCTGGTCGTAATGTTGCCTATCAGTACACCAAGGCTTGACGGAGAGGAAAGGAAAGGCAGACAGACAGAAAATGACCGTTGATGTGAACCGCAGCAGAAGGAAGGGGGAAGAAATGGGAGGCTGAAGTGTTCAGTGACATTGTGGGCATTTTTCCATGGTCCTCTTTGGATTTGCACACGAACAGCAGAAGAAGTGGGGGGGAAAGAGACCAAAAGCTTACACCACCAGAATGGGGATGGAATCTTATTCGTCACCATCTAAAAGAGTCCCAGCCCTTTCTTTGGAGTTGTTCTCTGGCTTTGGGTTTTACCTTTCAACTGTGGGCTGCTTACTGTGAGCCATGCAGACTGATTGGCCTCACCAATATAATTGGAAACTTTACAAATATACTCTCCGCTGTCAGCTTCAGTCACATTGTACAGAGTCAGCACTTCCGCATCTGAGCTATTAATCCCCGAATGCTAGAATAAACCAATAACAGACAACATTGACAGACCTGGAATGGAGAGAGTTTTACTGACACACGTCTGTGGGTCTTCGTCCACTGATGGCTCACCAGGGGACAGCTGAGACTAACTCCTCTCTCATGGTTTCTCCTGGGGAACAGGGGGAGGTTGCCCTCAGGCCAATGCCCCTCAGTGTCCACAGCTGGTCACATGAGCGCGCACGCTGCAGGATTCTGGGTAAATCCAGTCAGTTGGCCCAGACACTTGGCGCTCTGCAGTGCCCCCTCAGTCCTGGGTACTGGGACCACGTCCGTTGTGCGACCACGTGCCCACACACGGGGGTGGCGTGGGGGGCGCTCTCACGTGCGCCCTGCAGCCAGCTGCTGAGTCACCACATGAGGCAGCGGTGCAGCAGCAACGTGGCCGATCCAGGGCCACAAGGGATGGATGGCCTCACCAGGGTCACCCACATCCCCGACATCGGGCTCGTCGCCAGAGCACGCTGCTGGGAGACCTCCAGGATGGCGCGGGGAGCCCTTGCCAGTTCAGAGATCGGTGTGTCCGCCAACACTGGGCCAACGTGACCCGTGGCCAGGCGCCACCGTTTCTGTCGGGATCTGGGATTTCAAGTGGGGGAAGGGAAGGCCCAGCCGTGTGGACCATCAGCGGACGAAGACCCCAGCAGGATCCCACCACCACTATCACATTAACATGGCAAGTGAAACTTCGGAACCAGCACGCAAAAGGCCACTCTCACTCCCCGCTCTGCCACTGGGGATGGGGCGGGGGGGGGCGGTGGTGGTTGGGTTTGCTTCTTATGACCCCTGACTGGGTCCTCCTCACCCAGTTTGCAGACTGACAAACATGTCCGATTGCAAAAGGTGATCCATTGGTTGGGGGTGGGGGGAGAGCATCAGGTTTCGCACTGGGAGGCGGTGGGACGCAAGGCCCAATGAGGAAACTGGGACATTCGGGGAAGGACCAGGAGACCTCAGTGTTTCCCAACAGCAGGAGCTTTATTCTGGAGGGGGATGAGCCCGCGGGCAGCAAGGTACCACGAGAGCCGGCACCCGCTCAAAACGGCCCGCGGTGTCACCACCTGGCCATCCAGATACACGACAAAAACCATCATAACTCCTTCCTCAAATCTGTCGCTCCGAGACGCTGACCCTGGCAGCGTGAAAGCCAAGCTCCAGCTTGTCCGGGGATTGGGATACACTTGCTTCCAGGCACGGGGCGCGACGGGGAAAAGAGAAACCGGGGAATCGGGAGTAAAGTCAACCCGGACAGAGCTGGTCACTGTGTCACTGAGACGCAGCAGAACTCAGAAAATGGGTTGGAAGTGGCGAGGGTGCAGACCGGGAGTGATGACACCCCCCATGAAAGGTGTTCCTCACAATCGCTAACAGCATGTGAAGTGGACAGCACGTCACCCATAGTGCCATGCGACAAAGCCCCAGTCAACTCCACGTTCTCGAGCGGTTGCTTGCTCCCTGCGATTGAGGACCCAGGGATGGAGATCAAC